TCATCGAGGCGCTTTCATCAGTTCCAGCGGCACAGATCACGTCGGCTTCCAGATCCCGATCTCCCTGCCTCGGCGGCCCGCCTGCCGCATCTCGCTCCGGCCCCGTGTTGGGTCCCTCCCCGCAAAGCACCACACTGCCCTCACCGTCCTTCACTCTGGGAGGAAATGAAAGGGAGTGATGTGCTGCACCCCAAGCAGGGCCCACGATGGGACAGGTATGATGGGAGTAAATCACGCCCCAGTGCCCCCCACCCCGGAAATTTATGGGATTTATGGGAAACACTGCATGGCTTCATTGCTCCTTAAGGAATGCCTGAAATTATTCACTGGGTCACAAGACAAAATTAAATCCGTCAGCTTCCAGGTGTGGCTGCTGTGCTTTAGGCTGCAGTGCTAGTGATCGAAAGGTCACCACTTCAGACCCATTGCTCATTGGAGCTGTTGGGTCCTTGTACAAGACCCTTAAATCTCATTGTACCAGGGACTGGCTGACTGTATGTTTGCATGCATAAATAGTCTCACAAATCCAGTGTATTTTATACATTTGTTCCCTTTTCTGTCTGTTAAAAATTTTACTTTTTACATTTGAGTGTATTGTAATTCTCATTGATTAGGTTGCAGAATTAACAGATAACAGTATTTCTGGATGGTGGTAATGTAATAATCTCTATGCAAAGCCTTTACTATTTATACGTAGCAGTTTTTCTAAAGATTTGCAAGAAGCGTCAAGCTAGCAGTTTTCATTTTTGTGGCTTATTAGTTTGCTGAATGTAGGTGGTCAAGATGAAGATGTGTTAAAGCACAACAAAAGAGATGGGAGATGGGATAGATATCTGTCCCTGACATGCGTTACTCAGAAAAGCTTGAATTGAAAATGTCAACGAGGGTGTGCTTTTAGCGTAGCATGGCATTAGTCTGCTGTGTAAATGCATGGGCTTGACAGTCGCTGGCTACTCATCTGTTGACTAAGGACATTAAAGGTGATCAGAATTAATTAAATCACATTGGGATACTGGGGTGGTTTGACTGGCATTTAATAGCGATCTCAATAAAAGCTAGAACACACATGCAAACACTTCATGTTAGCATTGCTAAAGCTACCTTTATGGTCTGCAAGTCTCCAGCTGCAAAAAGGTGAAATTCAAATGGTGCTATTCACGAGTTTTCCACCAAATTGTTGCATTAAATCCATGCTGAGATGTGAGGTCATCAGTCGTCTTTCCCAAAGTTAACTCAACAGATTTCAGGTTAAGACTTGCTGGCCTTTCCGTTTCGTTGCTAGGGGAGAATGGACGATTTGTGATGTTGTCATTCACTAGATCAGGTTATTGTGTTTGGTCCTCAATAAAGCCTAATTATTCATTGCACAGCGAATGCGAAAATGTGTATAGCATTTCAGGAATTTATTTTCTAAACCATATCTGCCATGACAGCTCTTTGTTTCTCATTGTCTGTTGAAAATATAATGCTTGCAAAGTATCGACAACTGTTTTGTTCTTGTGTCCATGAAACCATCATCATAATTTCAGTGGTAATGAGTAAGCAAAGAATATTGCTTAAAAGCATAATTTTAGCCTAAAAAGTAGAATTTTAGACTGAATGGAATCTGCTTCACAGCTCAACATAATAATGTCTCAGATTCCAACTCCTGCTCCACTGCTGCTCTGTGTTTGGCTGGTCTGCCTCACACGTCGCGCGGAGATGTATCTGTTTTTCATGTTAGCACTCCAACAACACAGCTTGGGAATGTGAAAGCTGGCTACCAGCTAACCAAAAGTGTGAGTCCAGAGACAACACTGTGGCTAACTGAAACCGCAAACCCAGAAACAAGATACTGGAAAGCCGAAGTGTAAACGAACAAATAAAAACAGCACCACTGAAGTGGAAATTGGGCTCCACACCAAACTAGTGAGGCTGAGCCCAGCTCATTGCATTGTGGGCCCTGTTTCTGGTTCTGAACAAGGTCACGCAGAACTGACTGAATCTCATAATCTAGTGTTTATCAACCCAGTCGTCAGGGATCCTGGGACGGCCCACGTTTTTGCTCCCCCCCAGCTCTCAACACATCTGAACTAGGTATTCTGTGTTCTTGACTCTTTGGTTCAAGTGTGTTGGGAGATGGGAGGGACCAAAAACATGGACCGTCCTTGGATCCCTGAGGACTGGGTTGATAAACACTGGATTCAAACAGTTCTGTGCAGCCTTGTCGAACATTGGTTAAGAAACACTGCATTAATCAACAAAGCAGAGATATGGGTTTAACACTGATATATTTTTTTAACAGTCTGTCTTTGTTCTAAAGCAAAGATTCCCTTAAAGACCTGGAGATAATTCACACAGAAGAAGTCGGTAAATGTTGTCTGAGGTCAGAAAACAATTATGGCCTGAATTTATTTCCCTCATTACCAACACAGTGTGATACAGTCACAACTAATAATGAGTTCTTTATGTAAAGCTGTAGATCATCATTATTGTGGCCGGGTAAAAGTTATAATCGTAATGATCCAGCTACTGTAAGCTTTTACTGCGCCATGGGTGTTTATTGGTGACAGGCCAGGAGGTAATAATAAATTTTTGTATGAACTAAAATGACTGAAATAAACATTCATATTCTGTGATTCTGAGAATAGCAATGACCTTAATGTCTGACATTTTATTACAAAAATTCATATTAAAGCAATTTTAAGAAGACAAAACACTGTGATTGCTAGATGGCCTAATTGTCACCCATTATTTCAAATACCTCATTAGTCATTAGAAAACCAGCAATCCTTTTTCTTTCATGTAAATCCATTTTTAGTGATTTTGTTTTGATGGTGGTAATGGCTCAGTATGTCTTCTGAGTAACAAAGGACGCATCGTTTGGTCGGGGCGCTCAGATGGCTCCTTATAAAAAGAGCACCGAAAGCATTATTTGCGAGACAAACAATGTTGCATCTTAAATTAGCTGGCTGCCCGAATCTGATTGGCCACAGAAGGGTGTAGCGGTTTCCAGCAGAGACGGAGATGGGCAAGCCAGGAGACGCAGACATCCGTTCCTCATCCGTGATTTTGTTTTTCTACGTCTTTTTTGCTTTTGCTTTTATGGATCAGGAAGCTCATATCACTTGGCAGATCATAAATCAGCTTCCCAGAGTACTTTTCCAAACGCCCTCATGGTCCCACTGCTTAGATGGTGTAAGTGAATGGGCTGAGTCAAGCTTTGCTCTTTGATGTTGGGCATGCCACTCAATGCGGATGTCCTCCACCTGCCCTTAAAGACGGGCAAAAAGTGCCATCACTGGGCCATATATACAGTTAGGCTGGCAGCTGTTCAGTGAAAACACTCCCAATGAACACTTTTACCCTAAGAATTCAGGGTTTGAGATCAGGAGAAATGTTTATGAAGACCAGGAGTAATCTTTATGCAGTGATTCACAGTGAAATCCCAAAGGTAGAGCAGTGTAGACTTATATACTGTGTATACTGTATATTATGTAAATCCGAATTCACTTTATTGGCCAGGTACAGGTGTATGTACAATCGCCTTTCCAGATTCACAAATTTGACTTTCACGGGTTTGCTTGTTTACGCCTTGGCTATGAACAGCTAAATGGAAATATTTTTGGAACTTGCTGAAAGATTTCAGAAACTATCAGTTTTTAAGCCAAAAACAATACTGAGAATGATTTGGATCACATAAAATTATATATAAATATTAGTGATGCATAATTTTTGTTCGTGAAAGTGCATACTACCGTATATTGTTAATATTAAAAGTCTTGGCTTGAGTACTCTATGCATATTTGTTTCTGTCTCACTGTCTCATTCACATGTCGGCTGTCTTTGTGACTGTGGAATCTCACGTTTCACGCAGTAAATTTGAAACTTTCCAGTGCTGGTAATTTTGCATTTTTCATAATGGGTCAAAAATGTAGAGCCCCCACTGTGTACAGTAGTAACTTTGTACATACAATTTACATGGTTTATATGTTATATGAAAAGGCCAAGATGGGAAATGATAAAGCAATTTGACGTGCAAAGTGTACAGTACTGTTTGTTTAGAAATTGGAAATAAACATTTTATGAATAAATTTTTTAATGATATTTTTCAGGATATAGACTGTTACAGGTCGAGCCTGGGGGGGCCTAAGTATTATTTGCTAATTTTCACATTTGCGGGGATCTTCTGCCCCTTAACACCCATTAATGTGGAGGGGTTACTTACTAGGAATCTCTCTTGGCAGTACTGGTGCATACATTCACAGACAAGATATAAATAAAGAAAAATAATTTAAATAATTTAAATTTAATAAAACAGACTTATGTATGAGCAATAGTGCAAATCAGTACAGATTACAGTCAGTTCAATACAACTTATAGTCAATATATTTACATAAATCCAGTATGGTGCAAATGTCTAAGGCAGTCAAAGAAAAGGTTTAATATTTTCTTCGAGGATTTAACATTTAACATTTAACATTAGAACATATGCAACTTAACAGAAACAATAACAAATAAAGTTTATGTAAATAAGGGTGCAGTATATACCCACACTCTCACATATATAAAATGTAAATTGCTGCATAAAAATGCACTAATTAAAGGAGATAATTAGTAACGACAGCAAACAGGGCAGCACACATTCACTCCTGTGAATTTTCAGCTCCCCTCGTCTTGGCTGAGACATTCAGTCCAGATCGCCATGGTTTCTGTTCCCCTCGCACTGCAGGGGGTACCATGGAGGTACAGCTGTCAGAGAGGGAACAGCGGGGGATGGAGGAGAGAGAGGGCCCTGTGGAGGGAGGCGGATGGTTCCGGAGGGCTGGAGTGTGTCTGTGGAGGGGTGGGGGGGCGTTTCGAATCAGAGGGACGTCTGAGAGGATATGCAGGAGTCGCCCAGCAGCTGATTATTTCTGAGTTCCCTCCCTGTGATGGACGAGCGCGGTAACCCAACGAGAGATGAGCGATATGCTCCCCAGTGCTGTGAATGAAGATATTTGCCATTCTCTCCCCCACAGGAGAATGCAGCTGTCATGAGGGATATTCTCCCGATCCGGACCACGCGCACCTCTGCGTCCGCACCGACTGGGGCCAGAACGAGGGGTATGTCCCGGGCCGCACGCACGCTCCCGGTTATATCAGAAGACACCCCTCACTGTGTGTCACATCCTTTCTTCTGACCATGCTGTTATTAGCCTTGTCTTTTTGTCCTTTTTCAAGAGCATGATGTTGCGTGTGTGAGTTTTACTTACATAGAAATGTTCTGAGGGCAAAAAAAATGATTGGTTCAGAGAAATAACCAATCATATTATAGAAGAGGTGGGTCTAAGCAACTGCAGGAGGCAGGACCAAGACATTTGACTGGTTGGTCCTGCCTCCTCTAGTTCTCTGCCTTCTCCACCTTCTCTACAATTTGATTGGTTATCTCTCTCAACCTATCATTTTTTTGTTCTGCCCTCAGAACATTTTTGTGTAAGTGAAAGATGTTAGATGCGTCCAAATTATTTAATGTTAAATAACTGAATTTTTTTTGAGGTAGCGTCAGGAGAGACAGAGCCCCGTACTGACCCTGCCGTGTGTGTTCCAGCCCCTGGCCTTACACGAACCTGGAGAAGGGCTATGACCTGGTAACAGGAGAGCAGGCCCCGGAGAAGATATTCAGGTAAACAAAGAGTCAGCCTGAGCTTTGACCTCTTGGCATTGCCTCACTCCCCTTCCTGGGTTTTCCGTAATCCAGCCTGTGTTTATTCTCGCTTTGCTGACCGGTTGGCCGTGAAATGCAGCTTCTTTCGGCGCACCTGTTCCCACATCGAGCCCGAGAGTCCACCGGGGGGGCAGCGGAAGCGTCCTCAGTTAGCCGCTGGAGTGGGGCTTTTTCGAGAGCGCTTAGCGGCAACCTTCGGGAGAAGGTGCACTTCTGCTGACAGGAACATCTCCAGCCTGACATTAGGCGAGGAGCACACGCACCAGGGAGCGAGCCATCCAATCAGATGGCCCGTCTCATCCGCCTCTCTACACGTTCACCTGGTTCTCGTCAACATTACATGCAGTGTGATTGTGGAACACCGCACACCAGCCATGCTATATTGAGCACCGAAAGTGTTGGTCGTTGTGTGACAGATACAGAACGGTCCATGCTGTAGAAAGTGTAAATATCCATCAAGGACGTCAAGGAGACACTTTAAGGTAAACCCAGATAACGATTCACTCTCCCTCATGAGATCTCTTCAGCGATACAGAACCAGAAGAAGTAGCAAAAATGTGAATTTGAAATGTGCTTCAGCTGTGATAATTGGAGATTTAAACAAAGAAGGGGGAACAAACTGAGTGTGCTTCAAAATTACATTTTTAGCTATGTGGCCCCCTTAGACATTAGCATCTGCTGTTTGAAGTGAGTCAGTGTATCGTGAAGGATCCCTGAGTTACATCCGTCACCTTCCTGAGAGACGGAACGGGCGAGCAATCGATGCCGCTAAGGTGTCCATCACTAAGACAGCCCCGTGATCGGCTATCGGAATCTTATTCATGAGCCTGTGTGGGTATCGATTTTACTTATTCACTGCATAATGGAATTCTAGCATAGGGTTTCTCAACATCACACACACGGGCGCTGGATCGTTAGGAAGCTACACGCTAAATTTCCTCAAATAAACATGAAATAAGCACATGCAGGCTTGTACGTTTATATAATGCATTTATCTCGATTTGAACTTGAGGAGTGGGAATTCAGATATCGATTTTTTTTTTCCAAAATCTAATTTAAGTAAAGGCAATGTGTGCGTGGTTTTTGGAGATGAGATCTGATTATTTATTTATCCAGTTGTTTGGTGAGTCTCATCTTTCAATGGCCTCTTATAAATATTAAAATCTGCCTTTCACGGTGCTGTACGAATAAGACGGATCATCCCGTCGTGGTGAAATATGAAATTATCAAGGTGGATTTATACAAATATAGCTTTGCTTGTTTTTTTTTTTTTTTTCCCCCGACAAGCTGTGATTGAAGTGCTGATTCGGGTTTTCTGACAGAAGTGTGCGCGTGTGTGTGAAAATGAAAAGTTTTCAGGCTGATATTAATAAAACGGAGAGCTAGCTTGGAAGAAACACTGGTGCTAATTTCCCATGCTACTACCCAGGGTTTCCCGTCCAACTGCCGTTCCCCAAGTTACCCCTACATGCTCCGTGCCGGTAATTAATATTAGCGTACCTTCTGCCTGCACCCTGCCTGTTAAACATTTAATGTCCGTTTCTTTTTTCTTCTCACTTCTGTAAGTGTGTCAGCCTGACTCTCTGCTTTCCCCCAGGTCCTCCTACAGCCTGGGCCAGGGTCTGTGGCTGCCTGTCAGCAAGAGCTTCGTGGTGCCGCCTGTGGAGCTGTCCATCAACCCTCTGGCCAGCTGCAAGACAGACGTGCTGGTGACCGAGGACCCTGGTGACGTCCGGTGAGTCCTTCGACCCCCATTGGACGATGCCAAGGAAGGCGGTTCCCTGTCAGCCATTCACAGCACGGCCCACGTCCTGGTCGTGCTAGCTGTCACAGTCCTTGATTGTATGCCTGGATGTCTGCGTTTGATTTATTTCCATCCTTCCTATCATCCAGTAGCACTCCTTGAAAGATCCAGTTTATTTAGGCATAATAAGAGCCAGTGGCTTATTATTCAGTAATCTTGTTACTCTTTAGAGAGGCCTGAAACAATTTTCAGCTGTTTTAGGGGGCCGTGAATTCATTTTTGTCTGAGATGTATTTTATGTTATGCATTAAATGTACAGAATGGACATCAGAATCCATGGTTACCCAACATCACCCCTGACGTTTCCTCTGAAATGTGATACCGACAAGAAAATGAATGTAGAAAGGCACAGTAATTAGGCAATATGACTTCCTGTTTAATACTGACTGTTCTCTCCTCACATTGCTAGAAGCTGACTGCCTTACGGGTGAATGGTAGGCAAATTGCTATCTTTTGGGAATGCAGTTTATCATCTTGCACATGAAGATATGAGAGTCGTTTCATGATATCAGATCACAGAGCCTCTCTGTGCAGGCATTTTCAGCAGGGTTTGCCGTGATATTAAGACAGAGCTGCAGCTTGAAGATAAAAGCAGTGTATTTATTTCTGTTTGTTTGTTTTACTGGTATTTCTGCTGGAATCCCAGATTCATTTTTCTGGAGTCTTTTGTCAAAAGTCAGCTTATCAAGTATTAGTATTAATTCTTTTAATTAATTTTCCCCATGTAAACACGACATATAGTGTTTTGCGGCAAGGTGACTTGGCTTATTCCTTTAATTATCACTTAGTCCTCCGTGGAGCAGCCATTGCTGGCTCGTTCGAGTTAAACGCCTTTCACAGGGGTACCATCGTAGGGGTGCACAGCCTCTTTTGGCTCTAATTAAGGGATGGGGTCTCGCTTTAATGAAGGTAAAGCTGAGGAAGGCGGCGGGCTTTCTGCCTGCCCGGCACCAGATGGGCCTTGTATTTCAAGGGTGAAAGTGAACTAGTTAATTGGGCCAGCGTGTGTTCAGTTTGGACGGCCCAGATAGGCACCTCCGAAAATATGTCGGTGGCAGCGTGTGAGGAGTTTGGGCGATGCATTCTGGGTTTGCAAAACAAGACACACAAGCCAATGAGAACCACTCCGCGATCACATTGCACAGCTGTCCCATTTTGTCAAGTCAAGTCCTTAAAGTGTGAAAGTACAGTGCAATACACAGTGCAATAGCAGGTAGGCTGGACATGTGGGTTTATATACATAGTACAAGGTGTACATACATCACCATAACAGGGTGGAATAAATAGATTAATCAATAATACTAAGTTAAAGTGACCACTGCTAGTCTGGGGGGGAGGGGTAGGGGTGAGTATTCTCCAAAACGTGGTTTAATATTGTTAACATGTACCAGGAACTGGCTCTGGAGAATTATTTCTGCACTGACAGATAATTTCTGTCAATCAGCCATGACGCAAAGTTAAACTGGCAGTGTTTGTTTTTTTTTTTTTTTTTTTCTGTGATCAGCTATTGACTGACAGATTGATGAGCCGTATGTCACCAATCAGAAGCATTTAATCAGCAACCGCCACTACGGCTTACACAGAGTCTGCTCCCCACGGCCTGAGAAAAACACAAATATAATATTCATGTGGGTGCCCAAATCCCCGGTAAACCTTTTAAAAGACTCTTTAAGGGATTAGCGGAGATATACTGACTAATTGCAGAACATTAACATATGAATGCAAAGTGGAAATAAGTTGTTCATTAGCTCTCCTTGACACAACGCTAGTTAAAGGCAAACTCCCTTGAGACTGTGTATATTTGCAAGTAATGTACCCGTCACCGGTCAGCGAGAAATACTACTGTTTTTATCTTCTCCTATTAATTCAGCTGCCTTCGATTTGAGCAGTTGTGCAATAAGAGCATTTGTATGCAGATGCAAAAAAAAACACTTAGGAAATGATGCGACCATTAAGTTGTGCATAATTGAACTGTTATGGTTTATTTATAAATTTTCTTTAATGAACACCGGTACCGGTTCTTACCATAAATGTTTATGTAATATTGTACATATTATGCTTGCATAAATGATTGTTTTCCCTTCTGTATTGTTTGGAGAGGCCAGGTTTTTGCTGGAATGTTTAATGGGTCTGAATTTTTATATTCATGTGTGTAAGTGGCACTCTTTAGTGTTTTAATGACAAATTTATTTCATTAATGGGTCAATTTCAGGGCAAAAGCAGAACATCGAACTGGCCAATAGGAACAGAAAGGTAGAAAGTGAGCGCTCCGCACGGAACTCCATTAAGAACTCCATTTAGGTCAGAACAATTTATCTCCACGGCGACATCTCTCTATGAAAGGACACAGCATGTTCCGTGGTCAATTTGTGGAATTATTTCTGAGTGTTGCGAGTCGCGGCGGGCTGCCCGGGGGTACGGAGGCTGGTGAAGACGAGGCTCTGCAAAACAAACAGTGTAATCTCCACCCGCTAATACAGCTGTCAGACACGTGCACGGACATCTGGACGGCGGGAAGACTCACTCCCACCGCTGTCAGATGAAATCCGAGCACCTGACATCTGTTGAAACAGAGATTCGGAATTCCCCAGGAAAGCCGTTTTTGAACATGTATTTTTGCTGGTTGCACTTTGCTGGATAAATAAATTAAAACGAAGATTATCGGTGGATGACTCAATGCTGTTCTCCCAGGGATCTCGTTCCATTCATTTTTATACAGTCAGTTGTGTAAATGAAGGTTTTTAGCTGAAAAAAGCAATTGTTTATTTTAGCAAATCAGTAGAAGGAATAATTAATATATGCACCCACTGCTGGGGCAGAGTGATCCTGGAGCCTGTCCTGGGCAGCAGGGGGCAGCACAGGGCACGAGGCAGGGGGCAGCACAGGGCACGAGGCAGGGGGCAGCCTGCATGAGATGCCAGTCCCTCACCAGGCACACACTCACCCACTGTGGCCGATTTAAAAATGCCGATCCGCATGTTTTTGGAAAACTGCAAAGTGGGGCATGCGAATTCCGCAGAAATAGACGGCAAGGGGGGCAGGAATTAAACCCCAGTCCCCGAGGGTGTGTGAGGTCACTCTTCTTCCCACTGAGGCACCATAATTAATATAGACTGTGGCCATCCATCCAACCATCCGGTTTCTGTAAGCTTTTGTCCTGTTCAGGGTCAC